CACGCTGCACTGCAAGTCTCATTTTATTTGAAGTCATTTTAATATGATTTATGTCATTCATTATCAACCAACCATTCAAAGCACATTGTAATGCATCCTTACATAAAAATATCACTCCCTCAAATAATACATCTGGGATGACATCATCTTCATGTAATTTGATTTATGAGAGCATCATAATCTTCAACTGCATCCCACTCTTCACTTGTATGAACTGGCCTTACAAATTGATTGTTCTCTATAGTTAAATCTAACATCTCTATGTTTGGCACTGCATATTGGTGTAATAAATCATGGCTTGGTAATATATTATTCGTCTCACCATCTTGCCCACTATAATACTCGTTTGCCACCACTCGCTCGAGTTTTCATTAGTGCCACTATCCATGATTTCATAATTTTTGGTGTTAAAATCTAAGTGCGCACCTTACAATTCTTGTTAGGTGACAGGCTCAACACGTCTACTAATATAAGGGTGTATTGAACGTGTTAGATCAAACGATGAATGTGTATGCTAATCATTAACTGGTTGGTCGAGTATACTATAAAATCCAAACTCATACGTGTTGAATGAAATTGGAGTTGGCCTATAAAGTAGAATTCATAGAATTTATGGAATTTATAGTACATATTTCTAATAATTACAACAACAAAATATGTATTTTTCTTGTACCTAAATTTTTTTGTCGCATGCTCACTAGGATCTACATAAGGGTGTGAAGGATCAACAATGTCAGAAGCGCTAACAAGTAATGACTCACTGTCGACAAAAATAATTATTGTGGCCTTTTTCGCGTCTAACAACATAAATTCACGTACTTCATCATAATCAATAAGAATTGCAGCAAAACAGCCGCTCACCGACAATCGACAAACTATATTTATGGTATATCTTGACCATCAGGACTTAGTAGATATAGTAGTTTTCTATTCAATTCATTTAATGTCATTAACTATTACACATGCACGAGGCAGTTACGTCCACCAACATAACTGGAAGTAAAGTCTTATGTGACCATCAAAACATATTTAGTAGATATAGTATTTTTCTATTCAATTCATTTAATGTTATTAACTATGACACATGCACGAGGCAGTTACGTCCACCAACATAAGTGGAAGTAAAGTCTTATGTGACCATCAAAACATATTAACAATCGTGACATATTTGTACTCACATTTTAAAATTAATTTGATCTGGTTTTACATTTGATTTTATTTCTACTTGTGAGCTAAAATTTAATAGGAAATTAAGATGAATATGGGTTATAAGCGTTAACTTTTCTGGATTATGCAATTTGTAAATCCATAAGGATTATTCTACTTTGTGTTGTCATAATAAGAAGTGATGCAGGATAAGAATAAAAGTAATTAAATTTTCTTTGAATTTAAACAATTTTAAGATAAAATTAATTGATACTCGTACCTTTCTAATAAAAAAGTACGAAACAAGATCCTGACAGCACGAGAAAAATATTATCCTACAGAATATCGAGCAACCTTTTACAAGAATACCATAATGAAGAAGAGAAAAATATGAGAGTGAAAGTGATAAAATATTAAGGTTAATTCTTTTAAGACTCATTTAATCTTCTATAAATGAGAATTTTTAACTACTAATTTAAAAATGTTAAAAATTATATGAGGTCTGTATGGGCTTTTGTCACACCAGACAGTCGAGATACTACGTCAACCTCCTTCGAACCAGTCGCCATGAGTCATTGGGTTTCCCGACTATTTACATATCAATACAAGTTTAAATCATTGTTATTGTTTATTTAATCATTAATATAAACATATTTGTATGTCTAAACATTAATCTAATTTCTTTTATCATACTAGAAAAAACTATTTACCTAATTAATTCATATTTCATGTGTTAGAGTATAAACACATACACTTGTATTAGTGTGTTGTATAAACTTATATGTAATAGAAATCATAAACTTGTATCTTAGGCAGTTTATGCTTTTTTAACCAAGTTTTTTGTAGTTTTAAATGCACTACATTTCATAGACATATATCTCTAAAAGTCATTCTACTTTGTGTTGTCATAATAAAGATAGGGGTAATATTACATTAAAACAAATTTAAGATGGATAAAATAATACTCGTACCTTACTAACAGAGAAGTGCAAGACAAGATCTTGATGACACAAGAAATATAATAACCTACAGAGTATCTAGCAATTACGAGAATATAATAGTCAAATAAAAAATTGTGTAAGCTCTATACGGGCTGTTGTTAAACAAGACAGTCGAGGTAATATTTCAACATCGGTCGGGCAAGTAGCCCAAAGCCATCGGGTTTCCAGAATATATATAGATCAATACAACATTTAAATTATTATAACTATTTTCTTAAAAAAATTAATAATTTTGTAAGATTTGTATGGGCTGTTAATATACTAGATAGTTGAGATACTATTTCAAACTTCTACAGACTAGTATCCTTATTTCGTCGGGTTTCTAGACTATATACAGATCACTGCAAACTTTAAATTATTAAATCTATTTATTAAATATCAAATATATTTAAATATATATTTAAATAATAAATTTTGATATAAAATTAGTGGCAATTTTGACATATTGCTAATAATTTAAAATAATTACAAGGAGCATTTCGGCATGTCATAAGTAATTTAAAAAAGTTACGGTTAGTATTTTGATATAGCGCAAATAATTTAAGAGCATTTTGAAATACAAATAATTTATAATAATTATAGGTAGCATTTATAAGTGTTAAATAATTCAAGAAAACTATCGTCAGTAACATTTCAACATAGCGGAAATAATTGAAAACGTTAGGAAAGTTACGAACATTATTTCAACATATTACAAATAATTTATGAAATTTACGAGCATTATTTTAACATGATGCAAAGAATTAACATAAAAAGAAATAACATAATTACACATATGAAATTATATTAGAACAAAAATTTACAAAAACAAAAAATTATAACTAAATAAAAAAAAAAAGAAGGAGAAGAAGATCAGAGGAGGAAAGAGAGGAGCCAGGGAGGAGGGGAGGAGGGGAGGAGGGGAGGAGGAGAGATGAGAGGAGGGAATTGAGGACTATTTCAACATCGGTCGAGCAAGTAGCCCAAAGTCATCGGGTTTCTAGAATATATATAGATCAATACAACGTTTAAATTATTATAACTATTTTCTTAAAAAAATTAATAATTTTGTAAGATTTGTATGGGTTGTTAATATACTAGATAGTTGAGATACTATTTCAAACTTCTACAGACTAGTATCCTTATTTCGTCGGGTTTCTAGACTATATACAGATCACTGCAAACTTTAAATTATTAAATCTATTTATTAAATATCAAATATATTTAAATATATATTTAAATAATAAATTTTGATATAAAATTAGTGGCAATTTTGACATATTGCTAATAATTTAAAATAATTACAAGGAGCATTTCGGCATGTCATAAGTAATTTAAAAAAGTTACGGTTAGTATTTTGATATAGCGCAAATAATTTAAGAGCATTTTGAAATACAAATAATTTATAATAATTATAGGTAGCATTTATAAGTGTTAAATAATTCAAGAAAACTATCGTCAGTAACATTTCAACATAGCGGAAATAATTGAAAACTTTAGGAAAGTTACGAACATTATTTCAACATATTACAAATAATTTATGAAATTTACGAGCATTATTTTAACATGATGCAAAGAATTAACATAAAAAGAAATAACATAATTACACATATGAAATTATATTAGAACAAAAATTTACAAAAACAAAAAATTATAACTAAATAAAAAAAAAAAGAAGGAGAAGAAGATCAGAGGAGGAAAGAGAGGAGCCAGGGAGGAGGGGAGGAGGAGAGATGAGAGGAGGGAATTGAGGAGGGGGATGGGGGATTTTTATAGTGGTGGGAAGGATATAGCAAACTATGTCTGCAGCAATAAACACCTTGCTTATGCTCTCTTTTATATATTTTTTGGTGTGCACCTCCCCCTAATTTTACAAATTATGATGCTATTTCATTAATTTGAACTAATAAATGAGCTCCTTCATGTCTAATATTCAATTTATACTTGATTTTTCATAAAAAAAGCTAGTAAACAAGTTCAAAATTCAAAATAGTTTGATTTTTATATAAAGTTATTAAGAAATAATTTTATAAATATAAATAAATAAGTAATTAAATAAGTTTTATATTAGCATTTGATTATTTTGTGTTAAGTAAATAAAATAATATATAAGTTGTAACTATTCTTTTAATATTGTAAATATATATATTAAGTAACTATTTCATTGAAGTAACAAAATAAAGAGTAATTGCATTAAGTTTAAATAATATATCATATAAGGATATAACAATTAACAAACTATTTGTTGAATAAAAAACGAGCTTTTTTTTCAACATTAATAAACGAGTCGGACTATGTTCGATTTGGTTCTTTTAAAGTTCATGTTTTGAAAAATGTTCAAATTTGTTTATTTACAAATTTGGACAAATATGCTCAGGTATTAATTGAGTCAAACTCGTGTTGTTCTTCATGTGCACTGGTTCATTTGTAGCCCTAGAAGGTGTGAGGTGAAGAAGATAATATTTAGAAGAGGAGTATGGGGGATAATTTTGTCATTTAGCTGATTTTTGAATAAAAGGTGTTCTTTTTTATAATTTTTCCCATAAAACAATTTGACATGGTCCCAACCCAAAAACATATAGGTTCGGTTCGACCTATTTAACTTTCGGTTCTGATTCAAATTGACAAAAATACCCAAATTTTACTTGAATTTATCTCAGAAGTGCAGTTTCTTTGTACCTAAATGAACATGAGATATTAAATGGGTCATTTGGATCAAATTTGTTGACCCATTTAATCATAAGTGCCAAATTGAGTAAACTTAATGTCAAATTCAATATGCTTAATTTCTTCATACAAAAATGATGAATTTTTACAAAAAAAAAAGACAAACTCATCTCATGTTGTAGCCTTAATGTCCAACATAACTTACAGGATGTGATTCCAGTCCTTGGCCAACTGGATTATTTTAGAAACTATATGGACAGGCTTGATCAGATGATTGGAATGAAGACAAGGGTAGTCATAAAGAGAGCAGTATTTGTTCTCAGTGCTGGCACAAATGACTTCATTGCTTTTTCAACAGTTCCTCTTACAAGAAAAGAATACTCTATAGAAGGTTATCAGGGCTTCCTTCTTGATAAAGTTAAGGAGTTCATCCAGGTTTGTTTCTTTATATTTTATTATGAAATAAATAACTTCTTATTTTTCTTCTTTTGTTTAGCAGCTCTATTATTATGTGCAAAAAAACTATACCAAATGAAGTAGAATGGTGAGCAGTTGCCAAAGATGAGATTCTTGTGGAATATAATTAGCATTATAAGAGTGCAATACGGTTAGAGTCGATGATATATATTCTTGGGCTCGAATTGAAAATTTTGTTGGTGTAGCCTAAATAATTGGGATTTTATTTAATGGGATTCGTGGTGATAGCGGAATGATTGGACCTATAAACCAAGCTCTTATGCGCACCAATAGCAATTGCAAGGGTGTGAGGGCGATGGCATGCGCTTGCGTGGTAATTTGGGTTTTATCGAACTTATGTTACGTGAGCTGTCAAATCCCAAGTCATCTTTAATTAGAATTTTGTCTTCTTTTTGATATATAATGAATTCTTCACATTTTCTAGTGGTTTTTCTCATCTTATTATTTTCAAAGTATATCTTCGTATTTATTTATTTGTGTTTGTGATTTGTCTCTTCACTATTGTTCTTATAACTAAACTTTAAAAATTAAGAAAAATGAATTGAACTAATAAAATTTAGCCGAATCGATTTGATTTTCAAAAAAAATCTTTTTTCCATTTCAATAAATTTATAGCTATAACAATCTAGCTATTAGAAATGATAGTGTGATGCTCATTTTTTGTCACAAATAATTTTTAGAAGCAAAAAAAAAAACTTTAGGTAAATATAATTTGATTCCTTATTTTCATTCAATTTCAACCAAACCACTCAATTTTCTTTAATTAACTACTATAATGTAATCAGTTCCTTTTCCTACTCCTATACTCAAAAAATTTATGAAACAAAAATTGATTATCCCATAAGCATTAGAATGAAATGATTCAATAATATTACTAATATTGTAGGTTTTATCAAATTTTGGGGCAAACAGAATTGTGGTTGCTGGTCTTCCACCAATGGGTTGTCTTCCCATTGTCATTACACTCAAAGCAAATGATGGAATCCATGATAGAGGATGCATAAGCTCCCTCAATTCCATAGCTCTTGACTACAACCAGAAGCTTCAAGCAACACTACAAGAATTTTCTTCTTCTTCTTCTTCAACCGAGCTTCAGATATTCTATGTGGATTCATATAAACCTCTTATTGATATTATAACAAGTCCAGCTTCATATGGTAATCCTTTCCCTTCTTCTCACTTAAATGTTGGGAGATTTTTCTTTATTCAGAAAATGAACAGAAATTTGCTTTGCTAAATAAATAAAAAAAAAACACACCCTTCTTATGTAGGATGTAATTTTTATGACAAAGTTTAGTCCTAGTGATGATATAGATATGGTAATGTCTACATCTAATCAAATGACAAAATCTTAGTTTTTCCCATTTTGGTATTTAAAACATTTATTAGTTTCTCGCAACCAAATGAAACCTTTAGCTTTCATGAATGCTTTTTTACTTACCTTCTCTAAAAATATTAAATGGTATGAATTATTAAGTTCCGAGACATCTTCGCAAGGCTCATTTGGTTGCTTCAAAAATGATAAATTTATTCTATTGTATCATAAATAATAATTAATATTGATTTTAAAGCTCTATAAACACTTTTTAAACCCCTCAAAAATGGTTTCTTAAGTTGAAAATAAAGTCTTAAACATACTTTTATCTCGAATCAACCAAATGCTCCTTGGATAACATTTTGAAGCTGAGAAGATATTGAGCACCAACTTGAAAAATCATTAAGTAAAACAGCAACATAAAGCTCAATTTATAACACATTTTTTGTCACATTAGGTGCCTTTGATCTAGAAAAATTAACTGCTTTTCATCACTTAATCTATATACAAGAACCTCAACGAACCTCTTTCATAAAATTTATCTTTGTTTCACCTGAAAACAATCATAGGATTCATGATGTCATCCGAAGGATGTTGTGGAACCGGATTGGTCGAAGCGGCGGTGCTCTGCAATCCCAAGTCCCTCACGTGCATTGACGCCTCAAAGTATATTTTTTGGGACTCCATTCATCCAACAGAGAAGGCTTACTACATCATGTTTAACAGTTTCAAGCCAGTGATAGACTATGTACTAAAGAGCTACTAGTATGTTTATTTCATTGTTTCACTTGTAACATTTCATAATTTCAATACTAAATACCCAAGAGCTTACTTATATTTCCAAATTGCAAGCAAAAGTGTTTTTTCTGAGACAATAAACAAAGTTCAAAAAGAGGTAATGTGTATAATGGTTGCAATTTACACAAACATATGGTGTTTAAGATAATGTCGCATGTTTGAAAGAGCAGATAAGTCATTTTTTATTTGGGAATCTGCAAGATTTTTTTTAGCCAGTGGCACTGGATTAAATGTTTTAAAAGTTATGAGTGATTTTATGAATAATTTTAATATGCGTTATGAGGAAAAGAACATTGGGGAACTAAAAGACCAAAATGATCAGATAGAGACATTGAAACATATAGGACTTTTAAGGTATCTATGAATCTTTAATATGAATCTGTTCATATCGACATGAATTTACTTGAGTCATTATATATACGATATGAGCTCTTGTTGAATTTAAGAGGAACTCACAAAGTTTAAAAAGTATTCATCAAAGATTAAGCATATTCATTCAAGCATAGGGATATTCACCCAAACACAGGAACTGTTCGCCATGCTAATGACTTTTCAAAGATGAACAACAGCCTATTCTAGGAAAGTTAGCTACAAATTTGAGTACTTAATTCTAGTGCAATCAGATTTAGAACAAAAGAAAAATAAATCTTATTATATGCTTTTCTTATTTATGGAATTTAGTATAGGGAAATCTACATTCTCAGCATACAATTCGAATGTATTTACATATCTCACACCTAAAATTTCATATTTACATATACATGACTTTGAGTTGAATCCAAACTTGTCTTTTTTGTATACACGCCCTGAGAGTTGGAGTTGAAAGGGGAAGAGCAAAGGATAGAGTCAATAGAGAGAGAGAGAGAGAGAGAGAGAGAGAGAGAGAGAGAGAGAGAGAGAGAGAGAGAGAGAGTGTGGTCTAAAATATAGTTGCAAAAAAAGGAGGACGATTATAATAATTACCCAAATGGCTGAATCGACGTGCCTATCGAGGGAAAAGTACATTATAACCACTAGATGCTTTAGTTTTGACTAGTCATGTCGATCGATTGTTTATATGAGATCTCTTTCGGACTGATGGATCGATAAAAGGCATCTAATCGATTCGGTGACAGGTCCGTCGGTCAATAGGTTCATCGGTCAATTTCGTTGTATGGTAGATCGACTGCTTGATCAGTCCACATCTCACTCTTTGGCTAGAAACTTTGGTGGCCTAAGATTCTATTCCTAGCAGTTTGTTCCCTTGAGACTCATGTGGCATTTTTTCTGTATACATATTAGTTTCTTGATTTGTTTACTCCTTAAAAGCGACAGCTACGATATGGATAGGAAAATTATTATGCAACAAACGACACAGTAAGTAAAAACTTAATTAAATAATTAATTTTTACTTGTGTTTTGTGCCAAGTGAACCCTGTACATAGGGCTTGAAGACTTATGCTTATTCATTTCATTCAACGTCTCTTGGGCTCCTCGAGTGACATCATGGCTGACGGTTCAAGCAAGAATAACATTGACTTTCATCTTTTAGCTTTGAAAGATTTTTTGCTTCCTGCCTCCACAAGAGACGAAAATAAGAAAATGAGAATTGTAAAGAAAAAAAAGCAGTCGACACCCGAATCTGAGTTGGTCGACCAATTCACTTCTTTGGAAGGTCCTGACAGTCATGCATCAAAGAAGTCTCTGAATATTGACACTCGCTAGAAAGTGTTGACTTTTGGTCCAAGCATTGGCATGATTGTCGAAGAAAATCTGCAAGTTGTTCCACCCATTGAAGGAACCAATAGTGGCCAAGGTGGATCGAAAGAGAAGTTTGTTGTTGATTTTCTTCCACCCTTACTACAGAACAAGGATGGCAGCCTCCCGACACAAGGAACACATGAATTTTCTGTTACCCTTTCTGAATTAAATAGATATTTTGGTATGTAAATTTTTCTAAATTTGGCATCTTTCTTGGCATTATTCTTAATGTAGATGAGCATACTGCATTGGAGAATCATGTTATATGTGGGTCGTCCAAGAATATATTCGTTGATTACGCCCCAAAGCTTGTAGTTGAACTGCAAAATCCGTCTGCTGCATCACTTCAATTGATTGATGAAGGCGTGTACCAGTCGAGCGACCAATTTAGCAACTCCCAACAGGAGCACTTGGAGAGTCGGCAGCTATCCTCTGGTTTGATGGAACACCGAATAAGAAAAATGGTCAGCTCTTCAGTGAAAGTGATCAGAGAGTCTGTTGATAGGCTTATGTGAGAGCTACTGGCTCACTTTGCTAGATTGGAAGAAGAGGTTGTTGTGCTTCATAGTGAATTGATTGATATATGGGTTGTTAGGGCCCATTTGAAAGTCGACTGTTCTGAATAAATTCCAGAAATTTTTCACCTGAATGGATCAAATTAGGATAGGCAGAGAGTTGATCTTCTGAAGGATGCTTCAATAAGGATTTTCTTCGGCTAAAGCAACGGAAGACCCATTCATTAAGTTTTTTCTTCAAAAACTATAATCATTTTATTTTTAATATAATAATATTTTATTTAACATGGAAATGATGTTTGGTGTGACACTTATCTTTTTGAGACGTTTCGACTTCCGTGCCCACTTATAAATAGGGTCCAAAACCGTCATTTTGCGTCTTACAGTTTTGTGCTTCTTCTCTGATTTTTTTTTACATATCTCTTCACTTGTGATTTTTCAATGGCTCTAAAGTACTCTACAACACTCTTCAGAACTTATCATGCAATCGACACTTCCATACTGATGGCAACGGATGTGAAGGAACTACATAAGTCCTGCATCTTTTACCGAACAATCACTCTGTGACAAGTTCAAGGACTCATTCGACCGATAAACAACTATAGCTCAGATTTGATTTTTTATGAAGATCAGTTCAATCACTCTGTGACAAATTCAAGGACTCAATCGACCGATAAACAACTCAGATTTGATTTTTTATGAAGATCAATTCAAATATAGGCTACAGTTGCCTCTCTGCTCTAAGTTGCAGGGCATCTTCAACTGAAATGGAGTCATCCCCGCACAAGTTCTCTTGAACTCCTTTGTCGTCATCTTGACTTTTGTGATCTTCTACTGTCGTAAGTAAGTACCTTGGTCGAATGACCTATTTAATCATTTTTATTCATTTAAAGTTGGCAAGGATGTGTTTTCCATGTTCTCTAATGGGAAGAAGCTCCAATTGCTTGGATTTGAGAATAAGGTGAAGGATGGAAGAAGCAGTTTGTGGTTGGCTCCTACACCGCTGGCTGCGGGATTCCCTCTAAGCTGACATATACTTCGACAGACAAGATCAAGTCTTTGTCAAAGGAGCTGCAGCTGTCAGAGCAATGCTCACCTGGTGTCGATTGTTGGTCCCTCAATACACGGTCAAGGGGATCATCAACTGAGTATTGAAGGTCCAAATGACAGTCATCTATGGCTTGCTTCTGACGATGTTGAAGCTACCTAAGCGAGAATGATCTCAAAGAAGTTGGTCCCAAAGTAAAAGGATATGAAATTATCATCTTCAAAAGGTAACCTCATCAAAGTTCAGTTTTTTAGTTGTGTTGCTACTACAATGATCAATACTAGCGGTGCTAAATTTATTTCTTCTTGGTATAAAACTTCGGTCGTAGTTCAAAACACTATATCGGGTGAAGTCACTATCATTGCTCTATCTCATTTGTTGGGTGCATGAAAATCAAAGGCATAAAATATGAATCTTTTCTAAGGTCTGGCGCCTCTGATGAAGAAGCTTGCGAAAGAGCTAGGGTGCCAAGTACCTCATTGCCAAAAATTGATCAACCAATCAACTTACTCTCGATTGATCATCAACCATCCTCTCCTTTTACAAAACATTCACGTCCAGTCGATCCATCTTTCCTAGCTCTATCGGGGAGGACCAGAGCCAGCCACCTTGACCCCATTTCCTTATTTGGATCCACATCCGAACAAAAGACAGAGCCATTTTCTGGCTATGATCCTTCGTTGTATCCCGAAAGAACAATGATGCATCAATAATGCAAGGAGACGATGGAAAATATTGATGTTCCTCCTCCCCCTTCAATGAAAAGAAAGAGAGAGTCCTTTAAGTGTCTTATAGTGAAGGGAAAGCGAAAAGATTATGGGTCGACATTAATAGCCAATTCAATCTGATCGATACTTCTAAGAACTGGTTCTCTAACGCTGTTGAGACTGAGAGAATTCCATCAGTTCTGGTGGAAGTGATGTGATCTGACAAATACAACGAAGCTTTGAAGAGGCTCAATTACCAAGAAATCTTGCAACATTCATCTCAATTTAATTTGATGGCGATGCAAGTGACACACCTGCAAGGGTTGGCTCTAGGTGAAGCCAAGTATTCTTTGATCGATAAACAGAATAAAGTCACTTCATTGGACATTGACCTTAAAAGGGCTCAGAATGATAGAGATCTTCTCAGTATTAAAATTGATAGTTTTTTTACTGAGAGAAATGAGATGATTGAAATGATGGATGCTTTAATGAAAGAAAATACAGAGTTGAAAACAATTGTTTCCCCCTCCATTTCTAATGAAGAACACATGGTCGAACTTGCAAAGAAGTATCACTACGGCATGGATTATGCTAACAAAAGATTAATACACAATGGCAATATCAATGCAAAGTTTTCCAATGAGACAAATTTGCAACTCTCATTTTAGATAAGCCAAATGACTCTTTGAAAGAAGAAGAAACTGATGAGAGCCCCAACAGAAACGGTGAGGATTGATCGATGAATCGCTGAATTTCTCTGTACTTAAAAACTTTTTGTATTTTTGTATTTAGATAGCTTGTCGAAGAAAAATTGTAAACAATTTTGTAATTTCTTTTATTTAAAATAATCTTACGTTCGATGTTATCTTTCAACATATTTTCTTTTATCTGCTTGTGATAACAAATATTTATCGATTGTTTGCTTACCTTAGAAGTGAGTATGTAGTTGTTTATCGATCGATGGAAATTATTTTTCTTCCATATTGATCATTTGATCAGATTATCGTCTTTCAAAGAGGTTTGCATCTGGGTGATATTTCAAATATACTACCAATCTTGTTGATAATGAATATTGAATCACCGTTAGAGCTAAATCTCAAACTCGGATGGAGT